TGACAATTAGAGGGATTTTCTTAATGATTCCTACTACTGAGTTATTGTATTCATATCTAACTTAAAAAAAGAACTTTGGATAATTTTTTATTGATTTCAGAGAGGAAGAGAGAGAGAAACATTGATGAGAGAGGATCATTAATTGGCTGCCTCCTGCACATCCCCTACTGGGGATTGAGCCTACAACCCAGGCCTGTGCCCTGACCAGGAATCAGACCGTAACCTCCCAGTTCATATGTCAATGCTCAACCACTGAGCCACGCCAGCTGGGCTGGATTTTTTTAGGTTTGCAATTTAAACTACTTTCAATCTGAAACCAGTCTAAAATGTTTGAATATTGTTTTTTGTTGTTGTTTTTAATCCTCACCTAAGGGAGAGAGAGAGAGAGAGAGAGAGAGAGAGAGAGAGAGAGAGATTGATTGAGATTGAGATTGTTTTCCACACACACCCTGGGATTAGACCCGCAACCCAGGTACGTGCCCTGACCAGAAATCAAACCAGAACCCTCCAGTGCACAGGGTGATATTCAGTCAGCTGAGCCACCCGGCCAGGGAATATTGTTTTGATAACTTGTAATCTTGTATGATTTCTTACATAATCTTACCCCAAACCTCATGATGTCATTGTCTAAGTGCATTCTTTTTTTTTTTTTTAAATAAATATTGTTCATATTATTACAAATGTTCCTTCCCCCCCCCAAACCCCCCTGCCCACCATTGCTCTCCTCCACCAGGTTCCCACCCCACCCTCTGCCCTTTCCCCACTCCCCATAGTCCTCATCCATAGGTGCACAGTTTATGTTCAGTCTCTTCCCACATCCCCCTCTCCCCTTTTCCCCAAGAATCGATAGTTCACTCCCCTTCCATACCTCTGATTCTATTATATTCAACAGTTAATATTGTTCATCAGATTTTTTTTTTAATTTCCTTGGTTTTTAGATTCACTTGTTGATAGTTACGTATTTGTTGTTCATAATTTTTATCTTTTACTTTCTCTTCTGAAAGAACCCCCTTCAGCAATTCATATAATTCTGGTTTGGTGTTAATGAACTCCTTTAGCTTTTTTTTTATTAGTGAAGCTCTTTATCTAACCTTCGATTCTGAGTGATAGCTTTGCTGGATAGATTATCTTTGGCTGTAGGTTCCTACTATTCATCACCTTGAATATTTCTTGCCATTCCCATCTGGCCTGCATGGTTTCTGTTGAGAAATCAGCTGACAATCGTATAGGTGCTCCTTTATAGGTAACTACCTTCTTTGTTCTTGCTTCTTTTAATATTCTCTCTTTGTCTTTTGCTCTTGGAATTTTAATTATGATTTGTCTTGGTGTGGTCCTCTCTGGATTCCTTTTGTTTGGAGTTCTGTGCGCTTCCTGGACTTGTAAGTCTAATTCTTTCACCAGGTGGGGGAAGTTTTCTGTCACTATTACTTTCAGTATGTTTTCGATATCTTGCTCTCTTTCATCTTCTGGGACCCCCATAATTCTGATGTTGGTTCGCTTGAAGTTGTCCCAGAGGTTTCTTACATTATCTTCAATTTTCTGGATTCTCTAGCTTCTGCGGAGGAGTGTCTTCTGGCTCTTTATGTTCCAACTCTTTGACTTGATTCTTGCGATATTCCATTCTGTTTTTAGGACTCTATAATATTTTTTATTTCAGTCAATGTACTCTTTATTTCTTGTTGATCCCTTATCATTTCTTGTTGATCCCTTATCATTCCTTGTTGATTCCTTATTAATTCTAGTTGGTCCCTTTTCATATCCTCAAAGGTCTTATCCATCTTTTCTAGGAAATTCTTGAAAAACCTTATAAGCGTAGATTTGAACTCTACATCCAGTCGCTTTTTGTCCTCCATTTCTTTCGTTTGAGATCTATTTCGTCTCGGCATTTTCGCAGCTTTCCTGAGTTGGTAGCCTTAAAAGTCTCTGTGTTCTGCTTGGATGGGACAGGGTTTCAGGGTGGAGCCTGCAGCCTTGGCTTCCGTCAGCCCTGCCCTATGCGGGTCCTTCAGTACTAGTTGCAAGCCCCTCTGAGAGAAAAGTGCCCTCGATTTTCGCCTGCTGCCAAACAGTCTATGCTCTCCCCCAATGAGCCCGGTATTGGGGTTCAGTTCAGTTGGAAATGGAGTTGGAGGTGGCGTTCAGAGCAGACTGGAGCCCCAGTCTCCTTCCCGCCGGGGCAATCCCTCGGCACAGCCAACTGTCCCTTCTCTGCGCTCAATGTGCGCGCCGCCGGGACCCCCTTTCGCCGCTCCCCCGGAGCTCCGCCTTAGCCCAGCTCCCTATGGCTGAGCCTGGGTCCCCGGGGTCTGGCCTAGAACTGGGGTTCAGAACAGTCAGAATGGGGCCCAGCACAGTCGGAGTTTTATCTCCTTCCCGCTGGGGAACGCCCGCCAGGCACTCAGCCGCCCTCCTCTCCGGCTCCTTCCCTAGGCTTTTCCAGCTCCTCCGCGCTTCCTTCTGGTTTTCTCCTTGCTTCTCGCTGTAGGATTTCCAGTCAGTCGACTTTCCTGTAGTTCTGGGTAATGTCCATTTTATATTTTAGTTGTATCTTATTGAAATTGTTGTGTGCAGCTGTGGCTAGGTGTCTACCTGAGCAGCCGTCTTGGAACGACCACTAAGTGCATTCTCAAACTTGTCTATCAAACAGCACTTTCTTACTACAGTATTTTTTTTTTTAACAGAGAGGAAGGGAGAGAGAGAGAGAGCTAGAAACTGGAAACGTCGATGAGAGAGAAACATCGACCAGCTGCCTCTTGCACATCCCCTACTGGGGATGTGCCTGGAACCAAGGTACATGCCCTTGACCGGAATCGAACCCAGGACCTTTTAGTCCGAAGGCTGATGACGCTCTACCACTGAGCCAAACGGGTTTCGGCATTACTACAGTAATTTCTTAACCCATTTTCCCCACCATGTCACAAGTAATGGATAGATTGCTTTAATGAAACTCCTTAAAACTGATGGGAATTCATAAGTTTTGTAATCAGCATCATACAATGTCCTTGCAATGGTTGCTTGTTTTGGAATGCACCCGTCCGTCCTGTGTGAGGAAATCCGGGGTAGAATATTGCAGGTAAGTTTGGGGATGATTGCCCAGTTTGTGGTTTCTCTCTGTTTGGGGAGTGGCTCTCATTGCTGTGCCCATGCTCTGGCCGTAACCCATTGAATCACCAAGTCTCACAGCATCTAGTATTGCTGTAGCCAACTAGATGATCTCTCCAGACGCTGAGATTTAGCAGAGGTAGCTAGCTCATTTATATGTGAAAGATCTTGGAGTTCCCTTTTCTAAGCTCCCTAAGCTTCCTGCCCTTCCTAGTCTTAGTCATCTATCCTACTTTGATTCTGGAAAGATTGTTCTTTTTGCTGGAGATGGTTCTGTTGTTTGCAACTAAAATAGAGTCACAACACAAATACGGTGTTGATATGTCAGGGCCATGTCATGGAAAGCGCTCCAGGAGCCGGTTATAATTTTACTACATTGCCTCTTGCTTCAGTCGACTCTGCTGCTATCTTTCCACGTCAGTAATCTCGTTAACTTCTTACTCAGTCATCTCAAGCTAATGCAAAACCTGTTGTGAAACACCTTTTAGAGGTCACTCTCAGCTCATTTCCTATTGGCTTTCAAAATAATTGTGCCCACCTCCATAATAGTGGTATGATCTATTTGGCTGGCTCCTCATTAGACAGCCGTCTGAATGGCTGTTAAAGTATAGGTATTGTGCCATTTATCTTGTCGCTGGATTCTCTAGTCACTTTATTTTATAGCATGATTGTGGGCATATACATTATTAAAGACTCTTTGTTCCTTGGAAATTGACCTGTGGTGAGTTCATGTAATATCAAGTCATATATTCTAAAGAGAAATATTTAGTAAATAGACTTAGTAAATTTTTAACCCAGAAATCCTTTCACTTTTAAAACCAGATGTTATCACTGTTATTGAAAGATGCTAGAAGGGGAAAATATTCCCCAGATCCTAAAACACTGCGTTATTAGTGTCTTCATATGTTTAATTTTATGTATTTTTCTATGCATTTTAGAACATAGCTATAAAATACATATACTAAGTTCATATATGTTTTCAGGTTACTTCCATATAACATTGTATCAGTATAATTAGATTAGTCATGTTTACCCTAAAACTTAAACTTTTCTACCTGGATTACTAGATATATGATTAAGACTACTCCAATCCTGTTTTCTTATCATATTAAGTTGTGAAGAGTAAATAATTAATAGGAAAGACTAACATGGTATCTAGCTTAGGTACTTAGTAAATGTTCCTTATATCTCGCCTTGGTTGTTTATGTTAACTTGGGAGTACATGCCTTTTTTTTTACCCTTTAAAGTTTTATACTTATTTTTCTTAAAATAATTTTAACCTTGCCCTAACCGGATTGGCTCAGCGTCGGCCTGCGGACTCAAGGATCCCAGGTTCGATTCCAGTCAAGGGCATGTACCTTGGTTGCAGGCACATCCCCAGTAGTGGGTGTGCAGGAGGCAGCCGATGGATGTTTCTTTCTCATTGATGTTTCTAACTCTCTATCCCTCTCCCTTCCTCTCTGTAAAAAATCAATAAAATATATTTTTTTAAAAATGATAATTTTAACCTTGTAAAATCTTCTTTTAAAAGAAGTTGGGTGCATGTTTGCTTTTATTTCTTTGAAAACTATGTTTAGGAGCTAGAAATACGTGAGAAAGTTAGACTTTCTTTCTTAGCTCTTTAAATTATAAGTCTATGGAGTAATCAGGGGATATGCTTTTATAAATGTGTTGGAGAAAGCTGGTTATCTCTTTCCCATTTTGAGTCCAAGCCATGTTAGCCATTCTACAAATAGATGGCATCCTTTAAGGTAGGATGTTATTGTGTAGGTATAACTCGAGAATTCTACATTTAAGTGTGCATATTCCTACAATTTTAAAAATTGTTGAAAATTTTTAACATTTCACTACCAAACATTTTTTGCATCTTCCTCATTTTTTCTCCCTTTACTTTTCAGAATGAACCTAGTGATCGAGAAGATGGCCTCAACAAAACACATCTTGTGACAGACTCTGAGAATGAAGACCCCTCAAACCTCAATGCTAGTGATTCGGAAAGCGAGGAGCTTCAGAGGCAGAAGGACAGCGACTCGGAATCTGAGGAGCATGCAGAGCCTCCTGCAAGCGATTCTGAAAATGAGCGTGTCACTCGCCCTGGGAGCGACTCTGAGAGCGAGGAGACCAAGAAAGCACCTGCTAGTGACTCTGAAAACGAGGAGCTTCTTAATGGGCGTGCAAGTGACTCAGAAAACGAAGATGGTAGGAAGCCTCCTGCCAGCGATTCGGAGGTTGAGGAGCTCCCCAAGAGTCCGGCTAGTGACTCCGAGACAGAGGACGCGCTAAAGCCCGCCATCAGCGGCTCTGAGAGCGAGGAGCCGCCCACGCACCCAGCCAGTGACTCGGAAAGCGAGGAGCTTCCCAAGCCTCAAGTCAGTGACTCGGAAAGCGAGGAGCCTCAGAGGACTCAGGCCAGTGACTCCGAAAATGAGGAGCTCCCCAAGCCCCGTGTCAGTGACTCAGAAAGTGAGGGTCCCCCAAGGCATCAAGCCAGCGACTCCGAAAATGAGGGGCATCCCAAACGCCAAATTAGTGACTCTGAGAGTGAGGACCCGCCACGGACCCAGGCCAGTGACTCTGAAAACGAAGAGCTTCCCAAACCCCGCGTCAGTGACTCTGAGAGCGAGGAGCCGCCGAAGGGGCCTGCCAGTGATTCCGACACGGAGGAGGCCTCCCGGCACCAGCAGAAGCCAGAGTCAGATGAGGACAGCGATGGGGAGCCTAAGGGGGAGGATACAGAAATGCAGAATAGCGCCTTCCATTTAGATGGCCACGGAGACAGGAAAACGTTTCACAGTTCTGACAGCGAGGAGGAAGAGCCCAAAAGGCCAAAAATTGACAGTGATGAAGATGAAGAAAAAGGGGGGGAAGAGGAGAAAGCAGCAAAGCGAAAAGCTGCTGTACTCTCTGACAGTGAAGAAGAGAAAGCATGTAAGGAATTATTTGGGGCTGTTTAGCCATAGTTTTACTTACCATCTCAGCTGATAACTACAGCATTCTGTCTTTTTCTGGAATGTTAGATCTGTACTTTCTTCTGAGTTCTAATAGCATTTCTTGAGTTCTGACTGCCTCAAAATAATACGCTAAACTGCTTTCATTTCCATGGGAATATGGAAGATGTAGTATTTTTTACTGGAAGGTAAAATTTCCAAGAACTATGTTTATATGGAAAGCCAAGTGTTGACCAGAGTTAGCTGTGAGACCAGCCAGTTAGTGCCCTGGAAGCCATCCAGACAGGGACAGGCTCTCGCACGTGCGTGCCTCTGCTTAGAGATGCCATCCCTGCAGAGTGCTGTAGTCTTTGCTACTTGACTACCTTTTCATGAAACTTACCTTTTTGGAGAACATATTCCCTTCTAACCTGGCAGTTGTTCCAGGAGGAGGAAAGCGCGCCGCACGTGCTAGTTTCTAAGGGAGAGGAGAAAGTCCAGGACTGATCAGGGCAATGGGCTCCACAAAAGGATGTCCAGCCTTTTACTCTGCTAACACTAAGCCACGCAGAAGGCGTTCTGGTTCTGTACATCAGCCTTGTCTTACTTTCTCTTCCCTAAAAGTAAAGGAAGCTATTTCATTTTTCATCTTTTGGCCACGTTTTCCTGAACAATAACAAATTGTAGGGTGACTGAAACTTTTAGGTTAAGTACTTGTTCTTAGTCATACAATGACTGTGACAGAATAAGATCAGGGATGATTTCTTTTCCCACAGCAGCAAAGAAGAGCCGTGTTGTCTCTGATGCTGAGGACTCTGACAGTGATGTCATATCAGACAAATCGGGCAAAAGAGAGAAGACGATAGCCTCTGACAGTGAAGAAGAAGCTGGGAAAGAAGTATCTGATAAGAAAAGTGAAGAGAAGGATCTGTTTGGGAGTGATAGTGAGTCGGGGAATGAAGAAGAGTAAGTAATATGATAACATGAGTTTTCGAGGACTCATATAAGGTGATAGAACACAGTTTGTCTTCTAACTTTTTACACTTGTATTAAAATTTTGTGTTGAGTTATAGTATAATATATCTTGTCTAATTGCATGACATTGGGAGTGTAGGCTTCTAATTCCTGAAATGTTGATACATACTACAACATAGGTGGATCTCGAAAATATGGTCTTACATGAAAGTAGTAAAGAGGACATGTCCTGTTCACTGCTATGAAGTTCAAGAATGGGTAAAACTAACCTGGTGATAGAAATCTGAATAGTGATGGGTTCCAGGATGTTGACGTGGGGAACTGGCTAGAAAGGACCCCCGGCGACCTTTCTGAGAGAGTGGGACTGGTCTCCTCTTAATCAGGGCAATGATTACTTACAGGTGTGCTTCTACCAAAACTCATTAAAGTGGATGTGAGAATGGCACATCTTACTGTATGACATTATACTCTATGACAAACATTTTAGGTTTTTATGCAAGTGAGAAAGCAAATGAACAGTTTTTAATATATTCTTCTCTTCTAGAAATCTTATAGCAGACATATTTGGAGAATCTGGTGATGAAGAGGAAGAAGAATTTACAGTAAGTATGAGATAGAAATACTTTCTTGTAACTTTTTTTTGCTTTTATGGTAGTAAAATCATCTCTACTAGATGATTCCAATAAATAGAAAAAACAACTATGATATATTCAATTAAAAATTTTATTTCAAAATTATTATTATTATTATTTTTAATAAAACTAGCCCAACCAGTGTTGCTCAGTGGTTGAGTGTTGATCTATGAACTAGGAGGTTCCTGGTCAGGACCTGGGTTGGGGGCTTGATCGCCAGTAGGGGCGTGCAGGACACAACTGATCAATGATTATCTCTCATTGATATTTCTATCTCTCCCTCTCTCTCTGAAATCAATAAAAATATATATACACTGAGTGGCCAGATTATTATGATTTCTGAACCCATAATCTGGCCACTTAGTGTGTATAAATATACTAGAGACCCGGTACACGAAATTCGTGCACAGGGGACCAGGGGTGTCCCTCAGCCCACCCTACACCTTCTCCAATCAGACTCCTTGAGGGATGTCCAACTGCCCGTTTTGGCCTGGTGGAATCAGGCCTGAACGGGTGGTCAGACATCCCTCTCACAATCCAGGACTGCTGGCTCCCAAGGTGCCTCTGCCTGATTGCCCTAACCGCTTCTGCCTGCCAGCCTGATCACCTCCAAACCACTCCCTTGGCAACTTAATCCCCTGCCTAACTGCTCTCTGGCTGGCCCGATTGCCCTGACTGCCCTCCCCTGCCAGTCTTGTCACCCCTAATTGCCCTCCCCTGCAGGCCTGGCCCCTCCCAACTGCCCTTCCCTGCAGGCCTGGTCTCCCCCCAACTGTCCTCCCCTGCAGGCCTGGGCCTCCCCCCCCCCCCCACTGCCCTCCCCTGAAGACCTGATCTCTCCCAACTTCCCTCCTCTGCCAGTTCAGTCACCCCTAACTGCCCTCCCTACTGGCCTGATCACCCACAACTGCCCTCTGTTGCAGACCTAGTTCTCCCCAACTGCCCTCTCTTAGAGGCCTGGATTCTCCCCCCTTTCCCCTCAACTGTCCTCCCCTGTAGGCCTGGTCTCTACCAATTGCCCTCCTCGGCCATCCGGTTACTCCTAACTGCCCTCCCTACTTGCCTGATTGCCCACAACTGCTCTCCCCTGCTGGCCTGGGTCCTCCCTAACTGCCCTCCCTTGCTGGCCTGGTCACCTCCAACTGCCCTCCTCTGCTGGCCTGCACCCCTAACTGCCCACAGCTGCTCTCCCCTGAAGGGCCATCTTGTGGCGGCCATCTTGCGTCCACAGGGGGAGAAGCCATCTTTGACCACATGGGGGTGGCCATCTTGTGTCTTGGAGTCAGTTTGCATATTACTCTTTTATTAGATAGGATAAGAGGCCTGGTGTGTGAATTTGTGCATGGGTGGGGTCTGGCCAGCCTGGCCAGGGGGTGGGGACATGAGTAGTTGGCTGGCCTGTCTGCTGGTCGAACTCCTGGTCAAGGGGACAATTTGTATATCCTGTATTTATTCTATAGGATATACACTGAGTGGCCAGATTATTATACGTTCAGTGATCATAATAATCTGGCCACTCAGTGTATATGCTTTAACAGAGTGATTCAGAAAGTGAAATAAAAAGGTCTGCAAAGCATAAAAGAAAAATAACAGGCAAAATTGGATGAAGGGGAGGAACACAGTAAGATAACAGAAGGCACATTGTAATGCTAAAGAGAAAGATTCTCAGTAGTTAAGGAACTTCTGTCTAGCCAAATGTGTTCCTCATCAGAGGAATGAGGTAGCAGAGAATTACTAAGGCAAAACCAGGAAGAGACAGAAGCCTAAAGAGAGTAAACTTGGCATGTAGAGCTGCCCTTTCTGGGATGTTCAGGGGAGAGGCTGATCATATTTTGGTCTCCTCAAGTCTCGAGAGACAAAATTTGGGGGCCTACAGATGTAGCGTAGTAACACTAGTGGCTAGGTGGGAGGGAGCTGTTTTGCTATATACCTTTTGATACCTCCTTAATTTTCATTCTTTGTGAATGGATTGCAGTTAAAGTACAAGAAGTGAGAGCAGTCACACAGGGAAATCTGTATTGTGGTTGTGATAACTGGCTAATTTACCCTGCTTTTAGGGTTTTAACCAAGAAGATTTGGAAGAAGAAAAAAGTGAGACACTGGTAAAAGAAGCTGAAGATTCAGATTCTGATGATAACATAAAGAGAGGAAAACAGTAAGTCTTTCACTTAAAAAGACTTTTTTAAGGAGACTATAAAAATGAAGGTAAAGGCTAATAAACCGTTATTTTCTTGCATTGGCTCTGACTAGGTAGAGGAAGGAATCTGTTCCATTTCCTCCCTGTTTCTCTGTCTACAGTGCTGTCCATAAACTACTCGCTCTTGTTAGTTTTCATTTGCCCTGTGACATCTGTCGTAGTTTGTGGAGTTTTGTGGTGCTAGGCTCTTCATTTATATCTCACCAAGTGAGCGCTTCCAAAATGTTCTTTTAGAAGGAAGGTTGATTTGGGGGTCCTGTGGAGATAACGCTACAGTCCTAATTACAAACTATCACCTGATTGTGTATCACATGCTCTGTCCATCTATCTGGAACAAGCGGGTGTCTTGAAAGGTGCCCAGTGTGGAATGACTCATTAGCTGTTGCTTACAGCTGTAAAGAGGAGCTTCAGAAGTTCCCCCTTTACTCCTGTGACATGCTGGAGGGGCTTGGGAATGCCTTCGGAAATCATCCCATAAGTCACAGATCATTTACATGACCGAGCAAGTTCACTCCCTCTTTGAGGGCAAGGATTTGGGTGAAAGCAAGTCTATAGATGTCCTCCTTTATCTCAGTGACCTTACGCTTTGAGCTGTACCACTGAAAAGCAGCGGTTTGTTTTCTTTTTTTCTACTTACGCTTAGAAGACAACACCCAAAGGAGTGAACACCACTGTGTCTACCCAAAGGGCAGTGCAGCGATAGCGGAACATGGAATTGAGGCACTAACCCTTGAACGAGAACTTGGCATTTGAAATGTTCGTTCTCCAGCTGATACATGCAAGTGTTCACATAGTGTGTGAAGAGTTTAGTGGGTAACAATTGGGGTGCTATAGAGGTTGAACATAAAACCCAGGAAAACATGCTCTTGTAAAGACAAGTTAGCACTGCTTTAAGAGAATTCTCCATTGAATTACAGTTAAGTAAGTTGGTTCTTAACTGTGATCAAAAGAAATGTGTATTTAACAGGCAGATTGAATATCACTTGATTTTTGTGTTACTGCTTAGTATGGACTTTCTGTCGGATTTTGAGATGATGCTGCAGCGGAAAAAGAGCATGAGCGGTAAGCGCAGACGTAACCGTGACGGCGGTACTTTTATTAGTGATGCAGACGATGTGGTGAGCGCCATGATTGTCAAGATGAATGAAGCTGCTGAGGTGAGTTGGCTCACTTCCAGCTTAATCTTTCTCCCACTCAGTTGGTTCTCTGGCTTTTGGTTTATTTGTTAGTTAGTTTAGCCTTTGCTTACACTACATTTAAGATACTTTGTTTTTTGAAATAAAGCACTTACTATTCTAAATTTTAACTACAGAAAGTTTTTTAATTTTTTAGTAACATGTTTAGAAAAGTGAAAAGAACGGAAGTAAAATAGTAAAATGCGCCTTTTCAGCCTAATGGCTTTGCTAATTTTATGGGGGAATGATTTTCTCTCCACTTTGGCTGGTTTACCACAATACTTACTTTTTCTTCACATATAAAAAGTCATAAACTCAGGTTTATTATGTTATAAACCCATGTCATTCTTTTGCCTTTGATTAAAAGATTGCATTGAATTTATTGTGCTTTAAAATCCTGCCCTGCAGTTTTTTTAATTGACCAAGTACTATGTTTAAAAAACAGTTCTGATCTTTCAGAAACACTTCCTGAAGTATTTATGCATTCAGTGATATGGGTCTAGGATTTGTTTTGAAATAATTCAAGGTTGAGAGGAAGTAGCTAGAGAAATAGCTAAAATAAGATTGACCATGTGTGTTTAATTGTTCAACTGTATGTAACAGGAGTATATTATTTTATTTTCTGTTGTGGAATTTGAAGTTTTTCATAATTTAAAAAATGCCCAAGTAAAGACTGAAATTCTCCTTTTATAACATTCCATTATTATACAAGCCTCTCAGCTGGAAAGTTATTTCTGATAATAAACCAAATTTTCCCAGGTATAATTTTGTACCTTACATGAACTCTTGAAAACTTTACAGTTATGCCAGTATTTTGAATTAAAATTGTGTTCTCAATTTGTGATTGTTAAAGCTATTTTAATGGCTTTATGGGTTTGATTGACATGGACAGATACAAAATTTGGGGCTATACACAAAAGTCAATTTAAAAAATATATATTTTATTTTTTTACAGAGAGGAAGGGAGAGGGATAGAGAGCTAGAAACATTGATGAGAGAGAAACATCCATCAACTGCCTCCTGCACACCCCCTACTGGGGATGTGCCCGCAACCAAGGTACATGCCCTTGGTCGGAATCGAACCTGGGATCCTTCAGTCCATAGGCCGACGCTCTATCCACTGAGCCAAACCAGTTAGGGCAAAAGTCAATTTTTAACTTAATTTTTCTTTCTTTATTTTAGTCTCTGAATTACTGTGATCGTATAGTGGTTGGAATTCATTATTAACAATGGCTTTGTTTCTTTGTTATTTTTTAAATCTTTTTCTTTCTGGATAGGAAGACAGACAGCTGAACAATCAAAAAAAGCCAGCACTGAAAAAATTAACATTATTACCTACTGTGGTTATGCACCTTAAAAAGTAAGTATTGTCCTCTTGAAAAGTTTTTTCCTTTTAATGGAATGATAGTCAGACTATGTATTGGTGTTCCTGAGATATTAAAGAACGATTGCCTTCTGTCAATTCATAGAACAGTAATAAATAGAATTTCCTAAGGTACGCTACCTTCTCACAAATTTCTTTTAAACCTTGATTCCTGATGCAATCAGAACAAATAGCAAACTGATATCAATGAAAGAAAAACTTGGAAACCACTAATACTGTTCTGTATAGACAGTTTTCAGTCTGGTAAATTGAATCTGTTTTCCCAGTGTGAGTGAGAACAGAGCAAATTGCAGGAGAGGAAAGCACATGTCAGACAAGGCTGATGTAGCCTATTCTGTCCTGAACTATGTCATTGGTACTTCTGGAATAAGGGTCCTTTCTTGATGAATCATTATTACCAAGGCCTTTCATTGTTTTGCTCAGGTGCCTGAATAATTTTTTTTTTTTAATCAATCTTTATTGTTCATATTATTACAAAGGTTCCTCATTTCTTCCCCCCTCCACCAGGTTCCCACCCCATCCTCCGCCCCCTCCCCATCCCCCATTGTCCTCATCCATACGTGCAGTTTATGTTCAGTCTCTTCTTCCCTCCCTTTCCCCAATAGTAAATCCCTTTTCAGATAGTAAATCAGATACTTAGCATTTTCTCAAATCAATAATACCTCCACATGCCCAATGATACACTTCACACAAAAGACATTTCCCAATAGGTCCACCAGCCTCATCCAGGCCCCACCCAAGGCACTCACAGATCAACACCCCAGCCCTATACTAACTCAACACATCCAGATCTAAGCCTTCATCACTTGATTCAGCAGACCCTCAAGTCCCACGAAAGTTTCCAGCCATGTCTGAGAGGCAGCCATGGGGCAGGGGCAGGCGAGAAGCGAGCTGTTCCGGGCCTGGCTGCTCAGGGCCTGGCCTCTGTTGCTCTGGTTCGTTCCACAACAAGCTGCTCCGGGTCTGGTCACTGCCGCTCCCGACCTAGTTGCTCTGGACTTGGCTGCTGCTCCCCCGGGCCTGGCCGCTCCCAGCCTGGCAGCCGCTGCTCCAGGCCTGGCCTTACCCGACCCGGCTGCTCCCCCGGGCCTGGCCGCTCCCAGCCTGGCAGCCGCTGCTCCGGGCCTGGCCGCACCCGACCCGCCTGCTCCCCCGGGCCTGGCCGCTCCCAGCCTGGCAGCCGCTGCTCCGGGCCTGGCCGCACCCGACTCGGCTGCTCTGGGCCCGGCTGCCCCGGGCCCGGCCGCTCCGAGCCTAGGCACTCCCAGCCTGGATGCTCTGGGCTTGGCTACTGCTGTTCTGGGTCTGGCTGTTCCCACCCCGGCTGCTCTGGGCCCGGCTTCTCCAGGCCCGGCCACTCCGGGTCTGGTTGTTCCTGGACTGGCCACCCTGGGCTTGGCCGCCTCCGCCTCAGGCCTGGCTGCCACTGCCCCAGGTCTGGCTGCTCCAGTGCTGGCTGTTGATGCTCTGGTTCTGGCTGCTGCTGCTCTGGGCCCTGGCCGTTGCTGCTCCGGGCCTGGCTGCCACTGCCTTGTGCCTGGCCACTCTAGGCCTGGCCGCCGCTGTTCCAACATTCTGTCCTTTTTTTCTTTTTTTTAAAAAAAACGCATTTATGTTGCGATGTTGGCTGTTGAGTTGAGTTCTGACTTAGTCTTTGATTTTTCAAGAACTTTTTTGTATTCTTTCTTAAGTAATTTTACTATCTTTTGCTCTCACTTGATTTCTTCACATTGAGAACTTCTTTGGTTTCTTCCTCCTTGTCCTGGGAGCTCAGCAGGTTGGCCTGTGGCTCCCCTTTGTTCTCCGCGGGCTCCTGCGCTGCTTCAGCCTGTTGCTGGGGACGGCGCCGCCCAGGAAGCAGCCCCTTCCCCAGGCCTTGGTTCCATTGCCCGCGCTCAGCGGTGGAAGGCTCAGGGGCACCCCCCTCCAGGGGCCCCGTCACCCGGCTCCTTGCTGGTTCCTGGTTGGCCGGCATCCAGCAGGGGCTCCTGCTCCCCGCCGCGTTCCCCCAGCCCGGAGCTTTTTTTCTCCTTCCCGCTAGGGGAGTCCAGCATCAGAGTTAACAGACTGTCCTCTGCCGCAGTTTGCGCGAGTCCGGAGGCCGCTCTCCCGGACTCCACCTCTGCCTGAGTCTGGGTCCCCAGGGATTGGCCCAGAACTGGGGTTCGGAGCAGTCCGGACTGAGGCCCAGCGCCGCCGGAGGCCTTGTTTCTTCCGGCTAGGGTAACCCAGCATCAGAGTCAACATTCAGTCCTCTGCGCGCATTGCGCGCGACTCCCGGGGCCCTGCTTTTCGTCGCTTTTCCGCCTCACAGCCCCGTCTCCTCCTGCCGGAGCCTGGGTCCCCAGGGTCTGGCCCATAACTGGGGCTCAGCGCTGCCGGTTCGGGGGGCTAGCGCTGCCCGTTCGGGGGTTCAGCCCAGGCTGGCGGTTTTATTTCCTTCCTGCTAGGGAAGGAGAGGCAGCACCCCGCCCTCTCCTCCTCTCCGGCTGCGACCTCTCTGCGCGTGTGCGGGCGGGCGCGCAGCATGTCTCTGTACCTTAGGCTTTTTTTCAGCTCCTCTGATTTTCTTTCTGGTTTTCTCTTTCCTTCTTGTTGTAGAATTTTCAGTCAGTCGACTACCTGTAGCTCTGGGCAATGTCCACTCTACATCTTAGTTGTATTCCATTGAAATTGTTGTGTGCTGCCGCGGCTAGATGTCTACCCGAGCAGCCATCTTGGATCCTCCCTGAATAATTTTTTTAAATATATTTTTTATTGATATCAGAGAGGAGAAGCAAGAGAGAGAGAGAGACAGACAGATAGACATCAATGATGAGAGAGAATCATTGATCGGCTGCCTCCTGCACACTCCCTAATGGGGATTGAGCCCATAACCTGGGCATGTGCCCTTGACTGGAATCGAATCCAGGAATCTTCAGTCCACAAGCCAGCATTCTATCCACTGAGCCAAACCAGCCAGGGCAATGCGTGAACAATTTTTATTTCACCTTGAACCTAGCCATAGCCTACTTTTTGATGGTTGAGGAGAAATGTACAACAGTGCACCAATAGCATGGTCTAGGACTTTCTACTAGAAAACTGCTACCTCTGATATTGTCATGTTGTCTATTAACATAATTAATTCTAGTACATAAAATGAAATTTAAATGTTAGTAATTCATTGGCAATTTTTTCCTGCTAAGCGAATGCTTTTCTCCCTGGTATCTTGCATAATTCTGAGTTTTCTTTCACCCAAAACAGTTTCAGAATCACTGTCCTGGCAGAGTAAGCATTAATTTTATAGTTGTAATAATTGGAGCTCATTATTCTCACTGTCTGTACCATTTATATTAACATTAACCTGACTTGTATAATTTGGGTTTGTTTTGTTTTAAACCATCTTAGTCTGTCAAGTATGCTTGTGAAAATAGGATCTAAATGTCCTGTTGCTCTGAAACCTGTGGAGAAGGGTGTAAGCAAGAGTGCAGGCTACCTCTGGGAGGGGGCTTTGAAAGCATCACTAAGTACATGAAAGTCCAAAGGAAGCTATAGTAGAACCAGCATGTATAGACTTGACTTCTTAATTTAATTCTTATTGCAGGCAGGACCTTAAAGAAACATTCATTGACAGTGGTGTGATGTCTGCCATCAAAGAGTGGCTCTCGCCTCTCCCCGATAGGAGCTTGCCAGCACTAAAGATCCGAGAGGAGCTGCTGAAGATTCTGCAAGAGGTTAGAGGAATGATCTGATTGTTTGCGCATCATTAATTATTTAACTCGTCTTGTGTCATTGCAACTTCTGTATTTATATTACCTGATATTTGTGTATTCTCTCTGCCATAGCCTGCCAGAAGAAGGGTTTTATTTAGTATGTGTTTTTAGGAACATAGCAAAATAAAATGAGCATAAATGATAAACTTCGTGTGGCTCTGGCATTGAAGGAAAGGGATCCTGGAGTAGCTGTGGTTTCTGTGTAGAGTAGTACAGTAGTGGGCATGTTTGGGGGAGGGACGAAGTAAAAAACACCAACTTCAGCGTCAGGTAAGCCTGCATTAGAATCCAGCTGGCCGCTTTGACATCGCTGTGACACCTTGGGCTAGCGACTTGACTTCTAAGGGAATTCTCAAGAGCCCTCCCATGTGCTAGGTGTTCTTACTCCTCACAGCAAACCTGCACCGTGGGTGTGTTGTCTCCATTTGACAGATGAGGAAATTAAATGACTTGTCCGAGGTCACATTGCTCGCAGATGGCTGTGCTTGGGTTCAGACTTGGGTTTCTTTGATTCTGGGCCAGTGCTGCATCTTGTATTAAACTGTTAACCTCTGAGTATGCGTAGTTTACATTTTTTCACGTTGTTAAGTTTTACTTGGACGAAGCACTAATACTGAACTCTCAACTCGAGAAGTGAACACAGAATACCTTTGTGTTCGCTATCTGTAGGTCCTGGAAATGGAGGCTTTGTTACTTACCCTGTTGTGGATGAGCCAGGTCTCAGAGGCTCCTCTGGAGTAGACCGGCAGGACTCCATTCTGCGTGACTAATGTTATGGGCATGTGCTTCTCTCCTCAGCTGCCCAGTGTGAGCCAAGAGACCCTGAAGCACAGTGGGATCGGACGGGCAGTGATGTATCTCTACAAACATCCCAAGGAGTCGCGGTCCAACAAGGACATGGCAGGGAAACTCATCAGTATGTACATTTTGTGTTTGTTGTATATATGGACATATAAAAGGTAACCACACTTGTACCAATATATATTTAAAATGAATCAACAGAGAAGAAAAAAATGTTTGGTTCCTTCTTATAGGTACCAGCTTTTTCCCTTTACACTTAAAAGGCTTCTCAGTATATTTAAGTATATAATTCAGTATTAAGTTCAGCAAGTAAAATGGTGCATTTTCTAATCAGGGACCAAGAGCAGGTTGTGAGAGAGGCTCTGGAATGCCTGTCCTGACATTAGCCCTCCCTGGTTTCAGATCCTGGATTCAGATCCACCTGCCTTACTGCGTATCCTTAGGCTCCTGCTTCAGCTCTAGGCCCTGGTTTTCTCCTCTGTAAAATGGGGAATTGTGTGCTTCCTTTGGGTTTTTTGTAGAGATTAAATGAGAGAATATATATATCTAAAGCCATAGATATACATACACACATATGTACTCCTCAGGAAATGTTAGCCACTGCTGCTATTATTCTTACTTTTATAATGGTCTTCCAAGCCTCTTTCTAATCAGTTGCTGTAATGTTTATAAAATCCTTCAGTTTTAAGAATGAAAAGCGAGCATTTTCATCATTCTCCTTGACTTGTTGTGCTCCATGTTGGGAAGGAATTTTTAAACTTACAAAGTAGACCGAAAAAGCAACTACTTCTGAAGATAGTAATTATTTTTCTATTGAATTTTTTAAGAGTATTAGAAGTTTTTAAGGGAAATTTAAGGGAAATCTTATTTTAATAATTTATAATTTACTGCCTATTAAATAATAAACTTTTGATGCTTTTGTGCAGTCATTCTTGACCCTCTTTTTGCCCTAGACTGAGAGAAGCAGAATATTCACATTACTCATTTTCACAGTGATTCTGAATCCAGGGGAGGGACTGGAGGATCAGTTTTCAAAGATATTTAGACCACCTTCTCTGAGACTCCTGCTTTCTTATTAGTTTGAGAACACTTAATAGCATATTAAATGCATCAATAGTCTACACCATGTTCCGAAATAGAAGCACCTTTGGACTTTTACTAACTAAACAGTTAGTTTAGTACTTTTTTTCATGTTCATCCTAGCAGCTTTCTTAGATTTAATGAAGCTACACTATTAAAATATAGTTTTTAAAGATTTAGACTATTTGACAAGTAACAAGAGAACTTTATTTTAGAATGAGAAAGTAGAATTTCAAGATTTTTCTCTTTTAAAAAATATTTTTAGTGATTGATATCAGAAAGGAAGGCAGAGAGAGACAGAAATATCAATGAAATGAATCACTGGTTGACTGCCTCCTTCACATCCCCCACTGAGGATTGAGCCCTCAACCCAGGCATGTGCTCTGACCAGGAATTGAACTGTGACTTCCTAGTTCATGGGTCAATGCTTAACCACAGAGCCATGCCTGCCAGGCCAGATTTTCTCTTTTTTTAATAGAGTAAATTAGACATTAGACTATTTTTATGAAATGACAACACAACTTGTTGTTGACTGTTAAAGTGGGTCAGGAATTACTCTCAGTCATCTGGTGATTATAGATTTAAATGACCTTTTTATATTGAATTTCCTGAATCAACTGGAGCTACTTGTAATGTTAGTATTAGGCTGCATTTATCCTATGAATGGTCTTGAGATAATGGTATTTTAAAGAAAGAATATTCTAAATACCTAGAATGTAGCATAACACTAAGATGTGGCTATTTTCAAGACATGGTAGGAGGAATGCAACTCTGGGGGCTAAATAATTGTGTTTTCCTGGTGACAGATGAATGGTCTCGGCCTATATTTGGTCTTACCTCAAATTACAAAGGAATGACGAGAGAAGAGAGGGAGCAGAGAGACCTAGAGCAAATGCCTCAGCGACGAAGAATGAACAGGTATGAGGGGACAGGCATGAGGAAGTGGAGTAAATGTTACTGTTACTGATTTACAACTCAGCTTTGTTGTAAATCAGATTGTTAGGAAACCTGCTAAGATGATAGGATTTTGTCTTTCCTCTCGGCTTGGTGTGTCTGCGTTGCTCACAATACCATTAATTTCTGTGGGACAGTGTGAAGTGAAGGCCACACACCCCCAGATTCTGTCTTGGTCTGGTGGAGTGTGGCCTCGGCCACCGTTCTGGAGGTTGCTTTTCTTGTCCTGGCCACTTGCAGAGAAAACTTTGTCTTCCTCAGTCCCATTTCCAAATTCTTAGGAGAAAAAGAGAATTTTGGTTCAGTTTGTATCAATAAACTGGATATAGTTGTATTCATGGTAGTTACCATTCACCCATAATGAAACATGGCATGCAAGATTAAGAATTATTTTTCCATTCCACTTTGCTCTTTTTTTTTTCTTGCAAAGTTATAAGATTCTAACATTCCTAATATCTCATTGATTACTTTGTTCCCAGCACTGGTGGTCAGACACCCCGAAGAGACTTGGAAAAGGTGCTGACAGGAGAGGAGAAGTAAGAATTTTGCATTAGTTTTCTTTCTTGGCCTGTATCTAGAGAGAATGTTCTGTTTGTTGCTTTGTTTTAAGAAGAATAGCAAATGAAACGATGTATGTTCATATTGACAAGGGATGCTTTTTCAGTTAAACGTTCATTGAATAGCCACAACGCATTGTATTGGATGCTCTGAGGGATCTGAGGGAGATTGAGAAGATTTTCGCCCTGGCCAGTGTAGCTCAGTTGGTTCAGTGTTGTCCTATATCCAAGGGGTAGCAGATTCGATTTCCAGTCAGGACACATACCCAGTTTGTGGGTTCAATTCCCGCTCAGGATGGTGCAGGAGGCAGCAGATCAATGTTTCTTACCTCTACCTCCCTGCCTCTCTCCTGAATCAAATTTTTTTTAGAGGCAATAGTCTTAAAAAATATTATAGGTTTTATTGCTGCTTGCTATGTGCCAGACTTTTGCATTAAGCTCTGGAAATACAGAATTGAATTCAAAATAGTCCATGCTCTCAAAAAGTGTTTAGAGGGATTATAGCCAAAGGGAGGGCTTAAGGCTTTGGGGTAAACGTGTGCAAGGCCTATTTTAGGAATGCCCATTGGACTGGAGCGGTTGGCAGTAGGTGGTGCCTCGGATGCTGGAAAATAGGTTGGAAATGTAGATTTGGACCAAATTTTGAACAGCTTTAAATCTAGATGAAGACTTTTCACTTCTCTTCCATAGAAAGTTTTTGAGCAAGGACATGAAGCCATCAGATTTGATTTGGATGCTGATGGGTGTGTGCAGGCTGGTTGGAGGGGGTAATGAAGGCAGTGAATAGCTAAACTGAGAAGGTGGTGAGGAAGCAGAGGTGGGGAAGCCTTTGCAGGGGCAAAATTGCTTAGGAGTAGGTGGCTTAGTGGGAGAGAAGTTGGCTAGATTTGAAGACCCCAACTTTAACCTAAGTAGCTGAGAGGGTTGTATTTACTAAAAGGAGAGGAGGAAGCAGGCCCTGGGAGGGAAGCTGAGGGGTCCATGCAGAATATGAGTGATGATGAGGCCAGCTGAGACTAGGGCGGGGGTGTAACCATGGGAGGGCAGGAAGGTTTGAAGCCTGTCTGAACGGGATGGGCCCAGCCGTGGTGGCTACGTAAGCATCATGCTCTTCTTACTCAGGGCCCTCAGACCTGGAGATCCTGGATTCTGTGCCCGCGCGAGGGTGCCAATGCCCTCAAACAAGGACTATGTTGTCAGGCCCAAGTGGAATGTGGAAATGGAGTCGTCCCGGGTAAGCCAGCAGGACCACAGCAAGTGGCTCTCATGCCAATGACTACTTACTTTAGTTCATGTAGCAGCATTATTAAGTCAAGTGGTTTTTTTTTTTTTTTTTTTTTACTATTTATCCCTTTATTTCAACCAATTCTTGGAGCCTTAGTGTTCTGCTACGATCATTTTTTTTTTAACTCAGAGAATCAGTACTCACCTGCTTCTGCAATGTCCCCTTCCTTTCCACTGTTTTAAGTAACTCTGTTGTAAAATATGTAGAGTCTAGACACTTCCTCTGTCATCACTGTAAATACTGCTCAGTGATCATCGTTGCTTTTTAGTAATCTTTTTTTATTCTCCATTCCAACCATTCTTTCTAGCCTGGTATTCTTAAAAAGGGCCTAAACCGATTGGAAAAGCATAAGAGGCGGTTTGCCGAGCAGAAACGACTCAGCAGAGTGCATCGTGCTGTCAAGTTCAGCATTGAAGGCAACAGGATGCCCCTGTAGGCCTGGCCCTGCCAGAGCGTGTCCAGGAGGTATCCCCAAGGAGACGTGCTCTGTGCATGCACTTGAATGTCAGTAGCTGAAGTGAGGAAGCGTGTGTGTGTGTGTGTGTGTGTGTGTGTGTGTGTGTTTAACCAGACAAGGGGCCAGGCCCACTTTTAGTTTCTGAAATAATGACCCTCACAGGCACTTGGTGACATTTAGGTCTTCCTGAACATCTGGAAATTGGCATTGGCATGGAAGTGGACTCCTCCTTTACTGGTGCCCTAAAGGTCCACAGATAATCACTTCCCTGAGAAGCATTTTGGTCTTGACTGACCCGTTTTTATTAAAAGGGCTTTTGTTAGGCCTAGGACCCTAGTGGTCTGTGTCACAAGCATATAACCCAGTTAGTAGCTTCTTGGTGGGAGGGATGTGGCTTCTTTTATTACTGTCAGTGGCTCAGCAACATGCCTTTGAGGACTCATCACATAAAGCCTGACACAATATTTAAGAGATAAATCTGATGACTATATATTCAATATGTGGTTGGAAATGAAAGAAACTTCAGAACGTTCATAAAGCCAGTCTCACTGACCTGCCGCACTCTGTGAGTGACAGAGCACCTGTATTGCAGAATATTCTGGACAGTTGGAGGACGCTGAGTGCCTCCTGTGACTTCTCCATGACCCCACTTTGGCAGCTACTTCCATGACTTACACTCACCTTCCTTCCACTTGACTTTGTTGTTGAAACTAATGGCAAAACAAAGCCTACTTTCTATTTGTTAGAATAAATAGCGGGTAGACGAGCACTAGCTCAGAGCCACGGACTTCTTCATCTGGAATTCCTTCCCTTTTTTCCTTTTCTCCATATCCATGCTCCTCGCTATCCCTTCACTCCTACCTTATCCTTCTCTTCCCTCTTTTCTTCCCTGTCTTTCCTATTCTCTCTTCCCCAGCACATGCCTTTGTGAGAGGGAGGATTACGATGTGGCAAAGGAAATTTCTTAAGCAATCTCTGTGACCCTCTACTTCGGAAGCCTGCCTTTCGTCCTGGGGGGATGCGCCAGTTTGCTGCTGTGGGTGGTTCTGGTCCTGCCTTCCCTGTGGCTAAGGTGGTGGGTTGAGATGACCCAGCCTCTGCAAGAGAAGACAAGTGGCCAGCGTGAGGAGAGGGAACTTCTCGTACAGTTCCTCTCCTTTATCCTCAACAATCCAAGATCATAACGTGCTAGCATTTATCTAGGCCTGAGTCTGGCTTATGGAGCTCTTGAAAAAAATGCTTGTTTTAGGGCTGGTGGTCTCATTTTACTTTTCAGTATATTGTCCTTAAGCCATGTGGCTGTCTCCCTGCTCAGGAAGGATTCCTGCATGTTCATTCATGCAGGGCCACACATTGCACCACCACTGAGTATTCATACAAAACATTGTCCTCGAAGACAATTGGAGTGAATCAATGGCTTTCAAATGGAAATGTTTATTTATACCAGGGTGGGCAAAGTAGGTTTACAATTGTTCAAATGAAAAATAATACAATAATGGATAAATGCTAATACAGAAATAAAGTCTTATTTTGTGTACTCACAGCTGTAAACCTATTTTCACCCACTCCTTTATGTTATTTTTATTTTTGAAATTATATATAAACATTAAACACTATAGAATAGCCCGGTTCCCAAAGTATTGGCCTTCCTCTAAGTCACCACTGATTTGGTGTGTTAAATGTATTTCCCGTAATGCTTCAAGCTTAGTTTGTTTTTTGTGTTTGTTTTTTTTAAATTAATTATTTTATTTTAATCTTTATTGTTCAGATTATTACAATTGTCCCTCTTTTCCCTTCCCCATAGCTCCCCTCCACCCGGTTCCCATTCCACCACAGGCCCTAGCCACCCCACTGTCTGCATCCTTAAGTACTGCATACATGCATGTAAGATCTTTGTCCAATCTCTTCCCGCATCCCCACACACTCCCTGCCCCCCGAGAATTGTCAGTCTGCTCCATTTCCATGCCCCTGATTCTATTCCATTCACCAGTTTATTGTTTTCATCAGATTTTTTATTCATTTGATTTTTAGATTCACTTGTTGATATGTATTTGTTGTCACTTTGTTGTTCATATTTTCTATCTTTACCTTTTTCTCTTTCTTCCTCTTCTTAAAGAATACCCTTCAGCATTTCATATAATATACTGCTTTGGTTGTGATGAACTCCTTTAGCTTTTTCTTGTCTGTGAAGCTCTTTATCTGACTTTCAATTCTAAATGATAGCTTTGCTGGGCAGGGTAACCTTGGTTGTAGGTCCTTGTTATTAATCACTTTGACTATTTCTTGCCTCTCCCATCTCGTCTGCATACTTTCTCTTGAGAAAGCTGACAGTTGAATGGGTGCTCCCTTGTAGGTAATTAACTGTTTTTCTCTTGCTGCTTTTAAAATTCTCTTTTTGTCTTTTGCCCTTGGCATTTTAATTATGATGTGTCGTGGTGTGGTCCTCTTTGGATTCTTTTTGTCTTTTTCTTATTCGGGGTGGGTGTTTTTTTGCTTCCTTGTATTTCAATTCTTTGACTTAATTCTTGGGGTCCTCTAGTCTGCTATTGAATCTCTGTATATTATTCTTTATTTCAGTCAGTGTATGCTTAATTTCTGACTGGTCCTTTTCCCTTTTTTTTTTTTTTTTTTTTTTTCTCTCTAAGATCCTTGAAGGTCTCGCTAAGTTCCTTGGAGGTTTCTAGACGATTCTTGAGTAACCTTATAATTGTGGTTTTGAACTCTATATCCAGTAGTTTGCTTTCTTCCATTTATTTCATTTGTGACATGTTTCTTTGTCTCTGCATTTTGGCTGCTTCCCTGTGTTGATAGGGTGGCTTTGTGTGGTAGGTTCCTTTAGGGCCCAGTGGCTTAGCCTCCCCAGTCACCTTTGTGCACCTCTTTGTAGGATATGTGCACAGTTTTTTAGGTAAGCCTTGATTGCTGTTGGTATCACTGGGAGGAATTGACCTCCAGACCAATGGGTTGTGGGGACCAGCTGTGTCTACAATGGAAGAGCTGCTGTGCAGGAGATGCAGTTATGTAGCAGGTCTTGGTTCAGTGGGGCTTTGGTGCTCTCTGAGTCTGCCCCCTGACTGTGTCCCTTATATATGTGAAGGGTTGTAATCTGGTATGGTGTCACACTGACCATTGGATACACTGGCTGTAGGGCCTCCAGAGAGGTGCAAAGTCAGCCACTGCCTGGGGCTGCCCAGCAGGAGCTATGGAGAGATCTGCAGATTTCTCCTCTTTGTATCTGGTTTGAAAGTGCCCAGATGAGGCCCAGCTGTGAAGCAAGGCAGGCTGCTGCTGCTGGTGCTGGCGTTGGGCCTTCTTTTGATAGCTTTGGGGTTCCCTGGCCCAGCTGCAGCATTTTTGAAGGTTGTAGGCTAAGAAAGGATAGGCCATTCATATGCAAAAGCTGGTGCACACAGCTTGGTGGTGGTGGTGAGGGAGGGGGAGTCTCAGAGAATCTCCAGGATAGAGCAAAGAGCAATGGCTGCCAGTCAGCCCTGCACCTGGGATGTCCCAGCACAGGAACAATGACCGCTGTGATCACCTCTGTCTGGAAGAAAGCCACCCTCCCATTCCTGCCCGATGCCAGACAGTCCAGTTTCTCCCCTTATGTGTCTGAGTCCCCCAGAATCTCGCCCAGCCCCGGAGCTCAGAGCAAGCGGGAGGTAGCATATCCCTCTGATTAAAAAAGCACACCTGGGTGCCAGCCCATTCAGCGCCTCTGCACCTCCCACCAGTCTCGTGCGTTTTCTTCTTCACCCTCTAGTTGTAGAACTTCTTTGCCAGCTTTCCCGCGGTTCTGGATGATAGTTGTTCATCTTTTGTAATTTTGATGTGGTTGTGGGAGACAGACAGTACAGGTGTTTACCTATGCTGCCATCTTGGTTCGCCATAGGTTTTTCTTGTTATAATTGTAGAAAATGTGTAGAGGTAGAGAAGAGAAAAAGCACTCACTATTCAAAAGCACTTGGTTGTATTTTTTGCATTTTTTCGATTGCTATTTCAATTATATTACGCTTGTATATAATTTTGATCACTTCTCCTTAAATCACCTTATAGATTTATCATTTATAATGGCTGCATAGTAGTATATCATCTGAATATGTAATTTGCTTAGTCACTACTATAGTTTCTGATTTTTCCTCCTAAATAATGCAGTAGCCTACACTACATTGTATGTTTATGTGTTAATTTATTCCATGTAGTGCTTTTAAATAACATTAAAATGACAAAAGCAATATATGCTTTTATGTAAACTTTTAAATAGAGAAAGCACAGATAAAATTTATGTCACTCATAATCCACTGCACCTGAACATTAACATTTTGAGTTACTTCTTTTTGGTCTTTTCTAAATGCATACATAAACACGATAGCTGGTTTTGGGTTTTTGTACTCTTAAGCAAAATCTTGATCATATTATATTCCTTGTTGGGTTTGGTCTTTGACTTAGCATGGTAAAAATTATTTTTAGTAAACATTCCTTAGTGACATTGTGTCAGAATATAGTTGTACCATAATTATTTTAAGCAAACCCATCTTCCTAATCTTCTCGGCTACTCTTGGTTTTTCACCAGTAAAACTGTGGTAAAACTGTTCTCCAGTGCATTGCAGGTATACTATGCTAAGGATGGTGTGGAGCTGAGGAGTCAGAGATTAGTTTGTTGAATTTATGTGTTAGGTACAGTGTTCTGTGTGATTTCAGGCTTGGGGTCCCTAGGCACCTGGCCGCTACAAGCCTTGATTGGTGATCAGCATAACGTGGTGTGTGTGTTTCAGTTGCTGGGATGGGGGCCCAGACTTGTGGGGGGGTCTGGGAGTGAGCAAGGAGAAATCTAAGCTGGTGTGTAGAGCTGCTGGCAGTTGGGTAGTTGGCAGAGATCTAAGCAAGTAAGACTTTGAGTGTGGACTCATTGCAAGTATATAAATCGGGTTACATTGTCTGAGTGGGAGCAGATATTGGGGACTCTTCAGGGAATCTGAAGATAAAACCCCAAGGTCAAATGGCTGATGTTCAAAACTCCCCTCTCTTCATCCCTCCATCTCTATTCCCCAAGGGGGCATTCATTAGAGAGAGGGTGCCCAGCTCTTTCTCGTCTGAGAGTGGATTTGTATGCTAACTCGGTATTAGTGCCATGTGTTCAAATTGATAGGAACTACTATTTAGAACTGGGATATTCCTAGAAAATCTAGGGTTGGTGATCAGTATGATTCTTATTCAAGGAGGTAGTATAGCGACTGGGGAGGCTCCCGACACGGGGGTTTGTCACACCTGCACTGACCCTGGGTGCCTCCCAGCTCTGCCTTCCCTTAGCAGCTTTGCCTTGAGCTTCATGGGTAACTTACTAGCCAGCATGGGTGGGAAGGGGGGTTAGGAAAACCCATCTCTTTTTAACGATTCAGCATTCTTAAGCGGTTGGAATTAGTAGCAAAAAGAGTTCACCCTGATCTTCGACATGAAGGGCAGACCTTTTTAGCACTTCTAAAAGGTGTCAGACCATATCTTTTTAAAACATACAGTATTTTCAATATAAAAGTAATAACCAAACCTTTAGACGTAAGGGACAAACAGGAAGAGATGTAAGAAATAAGAAGCCCCCTGGTTTGACTTAATTTTCTTTCCTTTTTGTGTCAGATACACTTGTTAAATGTAAACCTAAGGGATTGCTACTATGAGTAATAATAGTCATGGTGACATTTGAGCATTGGCTCTGTGCCCGCCCCTCCTTCTGGCTGACTGTATTTTCTCACTTACGTCTCCCAGCAGTCCTGAGAGGAGTGCTGACGCGGGGCGTGACCTGCCAGGGTCACAGAACCTGCTGAGCAGGGGCTCCACACTGACTTGTTGACCTCTGACCGCAGCCGTCATACTCAGAGCTTTTTCGCAGATGACTCCTTTTCCTTGAAGGTCAAGTTCTTGATGCCAGCACCGTTTGAAGGTGCATCTGTCATGTGAACAACTCCATCTTAGTCTTTGAAAGGGAAAAGCATATTGGCAAGATGTAATCTGATGGAATGGGGGATTATAGTTTTTCTTTTTCCTCCTTTCGCTCATCTAGAAAATGTCCATGGACTGAGACAGAGTTTACCATAAGGCACAGACAGTTACTCTGCACGGAGTGTGTCCTGTGTTCCTAACATTCTGTGGGCCCTTGCCTGCTGCTCCGGGAGGCACCACAGCATGTCTGGTCATTCCTGAGCGAGGCGCTCCCTGACTGCTGACTTCACATAAACGAAGCTCCAAGCTGAACTAGGCCATTGATTTCAGTGATGGCTCTTTAATTTCTATCCCGCTTGTAGTTTCAGGGGACCTCCAAGAAGGGTATCAGTCGACTGGATAAACAGATGAGGAAGTTCACGGACATCAGGAAAAAAAGCCGATCTGCACACGCCGTGAAAATCAGCATCGAGGGCAACAAGATGCCTTTGTGACTTTCCTGGGTCCCCATCCTGCGCTAGGAAATGCGCAATGGACTCTTCGGAGAAAGATGGTATTTTAAATTTTTTAGTGTATCTGTAAATGGTTCAGCTTGTATCAAATATTGTCTTAGCACTTGCCTTTCTCTCCGTGTATTTAAGACCATTGGTGTGGGCTTTGTACAGAAGAATGACTAGTCCCTTTCTGTAGACTTTCACAATAAATGCCAGTCTGGTTTGGGAGGCTGTCTTCGTTGTCTGAGAGGAGTCATCATGGGGGTGAGAATTGGTTCTTGGTGAGAGGGCGTCTTAGCTGTGACAGTGGTGTGTGACCGTTCAGCGTTCAGTGTTCAGCCCTGCCTACTGTCATATAACAGGCCTGGGTTCCTGACCAGGAGCTTCGGAAGCCTTGGGTGTCCTGGGTGATGGCAAAGTCTGTGATTCTGATGAGGTGGCTGGTGGTGACCGTGTGTGGCTGAAGGAAGACTCAGAGCTCTATTGTGGAGGATGGGACTTCGGGCAGGCCTGAAGACTGAGTAGCCATTTAGTCGCAGCAATTGGTTTTGTCAGTTGTGCCTAAATGGAGCTTTCTGATTGGTGAGCACACTGATGTGCTGAGATGGCGACGTGCCTCGATTCCACCACGGAATGGTGGGAAGCTGTTTCCTCCAGGCCTCGCCCTCTGGGCCGTCATTGGGCTGTCCTCCTAACTTGAATCCTTGTAATAAAACTATAAAGATAGTGCTTTTCTGATTTCTGTGAGCCGTTTTAGTGAATTCTTGAACCCGAGGGCTTCATGGGGGCCCTCAGACTTGTCAGCAGTCAGCGAGGGGGGCTGGGCTCCAGCTGCTGGGATGGACAGTCTGGGGTCTGGCCCTTCCCCCTGGGAAGTCTGGTACTAAGTCCAGGTTATTGATGTCAGAATTGCAATATCTTAGTTGCAGTTAAAACCACCTACCAACAAAATTTCGTTTCTTACTATCCTGTCAGGGAAACTCATTCTTTGGGTTTTTAAAAAATATATATTTTTATTGACTTCAGAGAGGGAGAGATAGAAACATCAATGATCAGCCACTTTCTACATGCCCACTGTGGATCAGCCCGCAACTTGGGCATGTGTCCTAACCAGGAATCAAACCTTGCCTCCTGGTTCATAGGTCAGTGCTCAACCACTGAGCCACGCTGGCCAGACTTGCCCTTAATTATAGCCACACCTTAGGAATATTACAGGATCAGTTCCAGATCACGCCAATAAGCAAACATTGCAATAAAGCAAGTCCCGAGACTTTTTTGTTTTCCAGTGTATGTACAAAGTTGTTACACTACACTGTAGTTTGTTAAATGTGCATACCTAAATTTAAAAATACATTATTGCTAAAAATTGCTAACTATCACCTGAGCTTTCCGCAATCATAATCTATTTGCTGGTGGAGTCTGGCCCCATGTTGATGGCTGCTGGCTGATCAGGGTGGCAGTTGCTGAAGGTTGGGGGCAGCTGTGATGATTTTTTAAAATAAGACAACAATGAAGTTTGCTGCATTAGTTGACTTCCTTCACAAATGCTTTCTGAAAGATAACTCACCATAGATTACCATAACAGATAGTAATGAAAAGTTGGAAATACTGCAAGAATTGCCAAAATGAGTCAGACACAAAATGAGCAAATACAAGAAAAATGGCACTGATAGACTTGCACACACAGGGTTGCCACAAACTTTCATTGCGGGGTGGGGCGGAGAACATATCTAAAGTACAGCAAGCCGGGCTAGTGTGGCTCAGTGGTCTAGGGTTGGTGATCAGTATGATTCTTATTCAAGGAGGTAGGATAGCGACTGGGGAGGCTCCCGACACGGGTTTGTCACACCTGCACTGACCCTGGGTGCCTCCCAGCTCTGCCTTCCCTTAGCAGCTTTGCCTTGAGCTTCATGGGTAACTTATTAGTCAGCATGGGTGGGAAGGGGGGTTAGGAAAACCCATCTTTTTTTTTTTTTTTAAATATATATTTTATTGATTTTTCACAGAGAGGAAGGCAGAGGGATAGAGAGCTAGAAACGTTGATGAGAGAGAAACATTGACCAGCTGCCTCCTGCACACCTCCGACCAGGGATGTGCCCGCAACCAATTTACATGCCCTTGACCGGAATCAAACCTGGGACCTTTCAGTTCACAGACCGATGCTCTATCCATTGAGCCAAACCGGTTTCGGCTGAAAACCCATCTCTTTTTAACGATTCAGCATTCTTAAGCGGTTGGAATTAGTAGAGACCCTAGAGTCAGCCAGAAGAGTTCACCCTGATCTTCGACATGAAGGGCAGACCTTTTTAGCACTTCTAAAAGGTGTCAGACCTTATCTTTTTAAAACATACAGTATTTTCAATGTAAAAGTAATAACCAAACCTTTACCGAGGCATTATATAACAAAGGGGTCTATTTTAAGACATAACAACACTTAATATGTTTGTGCCTAACAGAGCGTCAAAATACGTGAGACAAAATCTGATAGAAATGTAAGGAGAAATGGGATAGATAAACCCATTGTTACAGTTGGAGATTTCAACCCTCTTCGGTGTCTGACAGTTGCAGTGTGCAGAAAATCATTATGGGCATAACTAAAGTGAATGACACCATTAATCAAGTAAGCCAAATTGATATCCATAGAGTATTTCATTCAGTGATAGCATAATGTACATTCCTCACAAGCTCACATGGAAGATTTTCTAAGATAAACCACCTCTTGGCCTAAGACAGCTCTTCAGTTTAAAAGAATAGAAATCAAACAATATCTGCTGTCAGACCATGATTAAATTAAGCTGAAATTAATAACAGAGATAGCTGGGAAACCCCCAAATATAACGGAGTGGTCAAGTAACAAGTCTTGGGAAATTTGAAAATATTTTCAACTAAATAAAAGTGAAAAAACAACTTATCAAAAATATTTTTAAATATATTTTTGTTGATTTCAGAGAGGACGAGATAGAAACATCAACAATGAGATAGAATCACTGATTGGCTACCTCCTGCACACCCCACACTGGGGATTGAGCATGCAACCCTGGCATGTGCCCTGACCGGGAATCTGAACCATGACCTCCTGATTCACAGGTTGACGTTCACACACTGAGCCGAGCCAGCTGGGCAACTTATCAAAACTTGTGAGATGTGGCAAAAGCAGTGTTGGAAATCTAGAGCATTGAATGCGTAATTTATAAAATTTGTAGAGAAAATAAAAAAGATCTTAAATCAGTAATCTAAGTTTCCACCTTAGGAAACTATAAAAATAAAAATGCATTAAATACAAAGTAAGCAGAAGAAAGAAAAATAAAATTAGAGCAGAAATTAATGAAACTAAAAACAGGAAATGGATAAAGGATATTAATAAACAAAAGCTAGTTATTGTAAAGATCGAGTTAACTAAGAAAAAAAGACACAAATTGTTACAGAATTTACCAGGAGACTGGAAAATACACACACAAGAGTACTCGGAGATTCAGGAAAAACCCATTTATTTCCAGTTGTTTCACATGTACTAGTACCGAGACTCGGGATCAGTTCTCCAAATCCTGAGCAAGCCAATATGGAGGAAGCTTTCTCTTAATACCTTCTGGACCTTTCACAGGCTTTGCAAAAAGCCCTGTGTGTTGGGATGGGCCGTGAGACCACACCTAACGGACTGGCCTGGAGCCAGCCCTGAGTTTATATGGTTCGTAGTTTATGGCCTCTGTAAAATGGGAATATTTAGGTAAACAGGTCTTACAACACCAGATAATTAAGAAAGGGGCAGTGACTAGACTATAGGCTAACAGGAATGTGCATTAGGGATACAGAGATGCTAGCTCTCCCCAATGTCTTATTTTCCTCATCAAAATAACTACTATAAAAAATGAAAGTGAGGTCTATTGATCTCAAGAACATTAAAAAGATAATAAAGGAATACCATGAACAATTAACAACTCTATGCCCACATATTTGATAATCTAAATGAAATGGCCCAATTCTTTGAAAGACACAAGCCATCAACCTCACACAATAAGAAATATATCATCTGAATAGGCCAATACTGAATTAGGGGTTCTCCCCAGAGCACCCAGCCCAGAAGAGCTACACCACTGGATCCTACAGACTTCTAGTACACAAGACCAACCCAAAAATTCTGATCTGGTACATAGAAAGCATTACAAAGAAACTCAACATGAGTAAGAATCAAGAGAAAAGGAAGAATTACATAGGTGCAATAAAGAACACCCTGGAAGCTTTCAACAGTAGACTAGAAGAAGCTGAGGATTGAATCAGTGAGTTAGAAGACAAGGTAGAAAAAAAATAGCAGCAATTGGAAAAAAAATTAAAAAGCCAGATAGTCTAAGGGAGCTTTGGGACAACATGAAATGAAACAATATCCACAAAATAGGGGTTCTAGAAGGAGAGGAAGTTGAGCAAGGAATAGAAAACCTGTTTGAAGAAATAATGACAGAAAACTTCCTGATTTTAGGAAGAAAAAAGACACACAAGTCTAAGAAGCACAGCGTCCCAATCAAGATGAACCCAAAAAGACCCACACCAAGACACATCAAAAATACATTAGCAAACATCAACCACAAAAAAAGAATCTTAAAGGCTTCCACAGAGAAACAAAGTTAACTACAAAGTAGCTCCCATTAGACTATCAACATATTTATCAAAAAACACATCAGGCCAGCAGGAAATGAAGTATACAAAGTGATGAAAAGTAAGGGACTGAATCTAAGAATACTCTATCCAACAAAGCTATCATTCAAAATTGAAGGTGACATCAGGAGCTTTGCAGACAAAAACAAGCAAACAAACTTACCACCAAACTAGCAATGCAAGAAATTCTAAAGGGACTCTATAAAAAGAAGAAATAGGAAGGAAAGAAGGAACACAGGCATAAAGAATAAAAATGGCAACAAACAAGTACCTATCAAAAATAACTTTTAAGTGTAAATCACTTAAATGCTCTGATCAAACACATGGGGTAGCTGAATGGGTTGAAAACATGA